ACAAAGGACACTGCACCCTGACTGCCCTGTAACACCTGGTAGCACAAACACTATAATGAGTCTTTGATTTCTGCATTAATAAGATCCAAGAGCTCTTCAGACTGCAGACTCCTACGAGTACAACACAAACCAGTATGTTCACATAATAATTGCAGTTTGGGTTTTTTTTTGAATAATATTTCTAACAATGCTGGTAATAATACCCGTTTCCTATTTCCTTCAGTATACTATGCACTTTCATTTATTTATATATATATGTGTAGCATTTTAGGCTGAGTACCAGCTCAGTGTTGTAATCATAAGTCTCACAGAAGCCTGGTTTTAAAAGAGGACCGCTCAACAATTTCTTCTACATTAGAAAAATGTATCATGATCATTAATTTCTAGTCAGTAGGAGGGGAAGGAGAGAGATTTTAAGCACCAAAGACTGAACAAACAGCATAATGAGCACACCTTCGTTGCTTGCAAAGTCTTCATGTAGTATGGGAAGATCAAGCCTAATCCGCTTCAGGCAGGTCTGCAAATGAGAGATGAAAACACTGGTTATTTCACCTGTAACAAAATCTTTTGTGCAACATTGCTGTGTTTTTAATACTACTCCAAATTTCTCTCTACACTTTATTACTCTGAGAAAAAGATTTCTTTCACTATATGCCTGTTTGACCCACAACTTTTAATGCTGTGGATTGTTTTCCTAGTCTGTCATCTATCACCCAGCCAGACGAAGCAGCATTCTTCCGAAGTCTTCTTTTGCAGGTTCAAACGTTGAAAAAACAAACAAACAAAACCCCAACACCCAACCAGTTCCAGCACTCTTAAGCAAATTTCTTTAACATTAAAGATGTCCTGAAAAAGTTGAAACCAATTCTCTGAAGTACTTCAAATACTGGCAAGAGTGTTTTTGAAAAAGAGATAAATTAATTTAAATAACATTACACTCCTTAGGACCACGCACAACTTAAATCTTTCTTTTGTTGCATAATTGCTCACCTAACCCTACCTCTTACACTATTCACTACTGCACGAAGAGAAACTGACAGGAACAATACGTACCTGAACTTCCTTTTTGTTTCCCAAAGACTCGACTCTGTCAATAAAATCCTCAAACTGCAATTTTGGAAATAGTCTATGAGCCCAGTGTTCCATGTGTCGTATGAGTGTCTTCAGGTCTTCTGCCTAGGGCGTAAAACAAGACACTCAGCTAGTAAAAGTTGACTAAGTCAACAGACTACAGAGTGAAACATCACAGTAACATTTCTGAAAACATTAAGCATCTGCAGCTTGAAAGTCTCTTGAAAATTTCAGTAACAGGAATGAATGGGTAGCCCTTCCTCCCACAATCACGTCTGCAAGTGCAATTTCATGCTATCAGAAGGACAGAGATTCAAGTTCAGGAAAAGCATTTGCACATACTGTAAACATCTGAGAGGCTTCTGAGAAGTCGCCCTTAAGAAATCTAGGTCTGAACCCAGACTGGAAAAAAGTCCATGGGGCACAGCTGGCATTTATTCTGATGTTCAGAACACACAGAAAAATGTACATCTGAATAACCTGACCTAGTAAAGGCTTTTGCTCAGCTGAGCAGTATTGCCTACTTCTTCAGTTACAACTGCCTCCAGTTGTGAAGAGAAAATTTACACCCTGCATGTTCTCTGCATCCTTGCAAGCGTGCCAGCAGCCTCATGATATTTAAAGAAAAATAAGCTTTGTATGTTCAGGTGTATCCAAGACAAGGAGACAGTTTGTAGAGACAATTCTGCCTTCTCTGTGCTGAAGCGGTATGTCACACTTTTTTCAATATTAAAAACTTTTGGATAGAGGTGTCACAAAAGCCAGGAGATTTTCCCTAACAGAGGAGACTGATCATGAAATGAAAGGTAAAGGCATTCCAGATGTAGCAGGCAGTCTTATAAGCCAGTTTCAGTTTCAAAAAACCCTTTCAATGGACAATACAAAGAGTCACAGACATGATATTCTAGTTTTGAAGTAGAGGAAAACCGTTTTTAAGATTAAAATGTGAATTTTGCCAAAACATTTGTTTGTTTTTTCAAATTTGCAACTACAAATCCCATCAGAGTGCGTTCAAATACTGTTAGAAAGCTGGCTAACCAGAGTGTAATATCAATTTTCACCATATCAGATGGCATCAATCTATCAAGTCCAGATTAATCTCTCAGGAAAACAGTATGTCTTACCTCATGCCCCTTACCCTTGAACTTCACGTTGTCAAACATGTGCCTCAGGGCTGGAAGGCCTCTTTCTGAAATTAACCTGTTAATATGAAATGGGTGAAGTTATTTGAAACTCATACTTTCTAATTTAAAAACAAAAACCAAACAAACGAAAAACCAGTCACACTCCTCTAAATAGCCTAAAGCTACAGAACTCTTTTTGAAATATGTACAGAATTAGAAGTCATTAAGAAAACGCACAAAATAAAAGTCTTGAGTCTTACAACAATCTTTATCCTTTTTTTTTAAATTCCCCATACATATATTCCTAGTCCAAAGAGCTTTTTCATTTTGACTACATAGAAAGAAAATTGAATGGTCAGTTCTTGTATTTATATTGGCCAAGTAAAACTAGTTAGACACAAGGGTACTCACCTGTGGCACCACTGACTAACTTCATCAGTACATTTAAAACAGAATAAACTGAAAGCTCAGATTCTTTCCATTGCTTATAAAGAACCCACATCAGTTTAAGTGATAACAGCAAAGAAAATATTAAAATCCTTCAGGCTTACACAGAATTTATCCAGCTTGTACGTAAGTCAGCTGTAAGTGTACTTTAAGTAGTGCCTTACGGTCACCACTACATTGAGTTTTTATTTTGAAGCACACTTTATTTAATTTAAGAAATCTACAGTACTATGTTTAAAGCAAGATACAGAAGACGCAGCTGGAAGAGTCCTATGTCTGAATATTAAGTATCTCTTAAATTATTAGTCACGTACTAAGTCCCAAAGAGCCTTCAGGAAAGTTGTAGGCTAGCAATAGCATTACACAGGTGAGAAAGGAATAAAAAGTTTGAGATATGACAAGCAAGAGGCACTTTCATCTCCAAAACCCTTCAGCTTTGACTTTGCTACGACCAAGCAGGGATCACGGTAACCTCAACCATTCCCCCACAGACACATACCAAATTCATAACAGAATGAAATATTCTGTAAAAAAATTACCTGTGGGCATCTAGTTTAGGCATTGGTCTTTTCACTGCTTTCCGTGTAGCTACGGCAGAATCCTTTGTTTGTGACTGCTGGTTTCCATCTGGTTCCAATACAGAAAGTAACATTAAGTATATAATCCAAATGACATCAACTGGAATTAAATTAATGTAAATTTTAAGTTTCTATCCTGTCAAAAGGCAACATCACAAGTATTCCACTGCAGGTATCGTATTCCAAACAAATATCTGCATGTGTCACCTTGCTTCTCCCACAAGACAGATTGGAAATAAATCCATCTCTTCAAAATATATGGAGGAATCAACTTTTCTAGCACAGTAGCTTCCTTGAAAGGGACATTTCCTAATTTTAGAACTTTTATACGGTATTTCTGATAAGAAATGTACTGAGAGTAAATGTTGCTTCTAAAACTTGAGAAATTCAAATTATCAATAAACATAATTTGATAGGTGTATTCCAAAATTTCCACTGATAGATCTGAAAGACAGACCAAAAACACCAGCACCGCCTTCAATAAATAGAGGAAGAGATGATGTGTGACCACAATCCATGTGTTTTTTAAGAACCAAAGTCCATATACTTTTTGATTAGGGCCAGTATGTATTATTTATTTGACTGCACCAGATAAGGCACCACTGCCCATCCCATCTCAGAGCTGGCAATTAGTTATCATACTGATTTCTTGCTTTACTTTTTGTTACTTTGAACATCAGAGATTCAGAAGCTGCCCTTTTCATATATCAAGGAATTAAGTCTAGCCAAAATTCTACTTCCTAGTAAACAGACACAGCAGGGATCAAGGAAAAGATGTTTAACATTACTTCTACTTGAATTTGCCTACAAACAATAGCTACAATAACATCTTTATACTGCTGATTAACTTATTCAGTACAGTAGATTGCAGTAAGATCTTTTCAAATGCAGACAATTAAGTTCTATTGCCTTGAAGTGTCTTGGATTTTCCCTAGGTCACACAGTCTACAAATTCTACCAACAACTCCTTGGAATAGTACATTCAACACTCTCACCTTTTCTGAAATCCAAGTCATAAGGGGTAACTACAGACCAGTGCTGTATAATTACCTTTACTGATGTTTTGTCAGAAGAGCTAGAATCTTGTAAAGATTCATTTGTGTGCATATTTTCATGGAAACTACAAAAATAAACTTTTCCCATAAACTCAGAAACACAGAATCAATAACAATTCAAATTCACAAATTGCTTTCTCACCTACGCAAGACTATTTTTACACAGAAAACTCAATGTAGTGAGTACAACACAAATAACACTGATTTCACAGCATTTCACTGTCTCCACTGCAAAATGGGACCTTCAGGGGTCACAGGTGCTCACCTCCATTAGCTTGAGCCCATTCATCGTCTCTTTTTCCTGGAGAGGCAGGTGGTGGAAGAGGAGGGAACGTTTCGTCTTCTGTATTCTCATAATCAGGAAGATTAAACAAGTTGTTCTCTAAAGGATCTATCATTGTCACAGATAAACTTTTTTTCCTCCCTGCAGGAAATACCAGAAGCATTAAAGAGAAACAGCAAGAAGGAAAAGTCTACAGCTTGTCCCGAAAAAGATCTGTGATGTTTCGGCTCACCAAAGCTACTTGGGAGCGGCGGGTACGGGTCAGGGGATACACCAAAAGCAATGGATTTCTGACCAAAGCACCTAGCAAGTGCATCCTCGCTAACTAAAGCCCGCGGGGAGCGGAGTGACAATTCCCCGGATTCCCAGCTTACCCGCTCGGGAACGCGGTCTGGAGGAGGATTCTCCTGTCCCGGCTCCTTCAGCAAAGTCCGTTCCAGAGACTTCAGCTCAGCGCGACCGGGGCTAGGGCGGCCCGGGCTCGGCACGGCTGCGCTCCCAGGGCTCCGGGAACAGCTCTTTTTTACGGGAAAAGCTCTTTTTTACGGGAAAGTCGTTCCCCAGGCGGTTTCAGTAAGGAGCGGACACTCCGAGCGACTCCTCTACGCTGCCCTTGCGGATGGGAGCTCCCGACCTCCGGGCTGCGGAACTCACGGCGCCGGGGGCGGAGGGCGCCGAGAGCGGGCAGCGCAGGAGCTCGCTGCGGTGTCCAGGCTACAACGTGCCGGGCGCCGCGGAGGCCCCGCTCCCCTCACAGCGCCAGCGCGGCCCCGGGGCGTCCCGGCACCGCACGGGGCCTCTCCCCCTCCTGCCGGCGGGAAGTGA